CTGTTACTTCCCGAAGGAAAATGGAACCACGTTCCTACCCACGATAATCCTGCCGATTGCGCATCCCGTGGAATGGATCCCGACAACCTCCGCGATCACACTCTATGGTGGATCGGCCCTCCGTGGTTGCAAGCTAACGACGATAAATGGTCAGAGTTACCGAATTTCGAAACTCCAGTGCTACCGAAAGACGTTGATACCGAGCGACGCGCTTCAATCACTCTATGCGCGACTTGTGCATCAAGTTCATGGGATCTACAGTCTCGATTATCTTCATGGACTAAATTACTTCGAGTTACCGCCTATATCTTCCGATACATTCAAAACTTGAAATCTAAGCGTGAGAAAACGAACAATACTCACATTGCTACCAAGCGAAATGTATATGCCCTCCATCCTCACGAGATACAAATTGCCAAAACATTTTGGATCAAACAGATTCAAACTCAGCTGTTTGCCACAGAGCTCGCAAGTCTTTACAAAAACCAAGTCGTGCCTAAATCCAGCCCGTTGGCGTCGCTCTCTCCCTATTTAGATTCCAACGGATTAATCCGTGTCCAAGGACGGTTAGGCAAGTCACGCCTTCCCGAGGACACAAAACATCCAATCATTTTAAAATCACATCCTTTAGTAAATACATTAATCACTCATACTCATGTTCACGCACTTCACGCTGGTCCTCAGCTTACGCTTGCAATTTTACGACAAAATTACTGGCTGCTCCGCGCCAGAGCTACGGTGCGTTCCGTGCTCTATCGTTGTATTACTTGCACGCGACACAACGCTCGCATTCCCGAGCAATTTATGGGCGAACTTCCCGACTTTCGTGTCAATCCAAATTCACGAGCCTTCGTTCATACCGGTGTCGATTACGCGGGTCCGTTGCTTGTTCGCCTAGCCAAAGGCCGTGGCCATAAATCACAAAAAGCATATATCGCGGTATTCATTTGTATGACCACCAAAGCCTTACACTTAGAATTAGTTTCCGATTATTCAACGGCGTCATTTTTAGCTGCGTACCAACGCTTTCTCGCGCGCCGCGGAACTCCGACTTCAATGTATTCCGACAACGGTACCACGTTTCAAGGCGCTGATAAAGAAATGACTGCATCCTTCCAAGCCGCCACGCGAAACCCTGAATTTCAAAATTATTTAGCTACCGAGAGCGTGTCCTGGCACTTTTTACCTCCAGCGGCACCTCATTTCGGCAGTCTTTGGGAGGCTGCAGTCCGCAGTGTCAAGCACCACCTTAAACGTTCGATCGGCACTCACACGCTTACATTTGAAGAATTAAGTACGCTGTTGTGTCGAATCGAATTGTTCCTCAATTCCCGACCGATTGCCTCTGTCACCGATTCGATCGATGATTATTGCGCGCTAACCCCGGGTCATTTTCTGATCGGCTCCACCTTAATCGCCGCTCCAGAACCAAGCGTCCTCGAATTAGCGGAGCATCGATTGTCTCGATGGCAACTCGTTCAACAAATTAGCGAACGCGTCTGGAAGGCGTGAAAGGATACGTATCTCCACACCTTGCAACAACGCCCGAAATGGCGATCCGTTCAAAATTTAGCTACCCAAGGTCGCATGGTCTTGATCCGCGATCCCTTGGCGCCCCCAAGTCGTTGGAAGCTTGGGCGAATTGTACAATGCCATCCAGGCAGCGATAATCTGACTCGCGTTGTTACCGTCAAAACCGCCGATTCCGAATACAAGCGCCCGATTACGAAAATCTGTTTTCTTCCGGTCGACATCAATCTCGATCAAGAACAGTCTGCCATGGCGGGCGGTGACAAATAATTCTTTCAACGATGACCATGGTTACCGCGTACCGACGACCGGCCTATTGTAAATCTATTGTAATTATTACCACGAATGTATCTACGCCGCGTACTCTGCTTGTACGCACTAATCTACCATATTAGCATTTATCGAATGCAGAACATTCGAGACGGGCGGCATGTTCCGGATTCAAACAGTAATTCTCTGTTCTCAAGCGTTATGTATTTGCAAAGAGAAAGCTATCGAGACAGTGGAATGTCGTTAGTCTCCCAAATAAACCTCGCGATCTAAACAGTTTCGACCATGAGATGTTTTCGCAGTCAAACTCGCCGTTATTGGTAAACGCTCTCACATTATTTCGAATTTGTCCGCCAATTCGGAAAGAGCAGGCGTCTATTCTCCGAAAAGGGGGG